CGTGTTCTACAAGCCGTGCGGTATGCCTAATCATAACCGACATGTGTTTAATGTTTCTAAACCCGTACTGAGGCCGATGCGTGTGTTTGATGTATAATGTGATATATCTGGAAGTTTAGGAGCGAGGATTCCGTTGGTGCTTCTTGTCAGCACCTGTTGGTTGCGGCTGTTGCCGATGCTGATTTAGCGCTTGCTTTTTGAACGTAGCCATGCATGCAATTGCCATTGTTGAAGGCGCTTTGCGATCCCCGCGCTGTGTCTGCAGCCCTGTCAGCTGTTATTCTACAGTTCCCCCGCGCCAAAAAACACAAAAGCCTTGCACCCTGACTTCGGCCAACCCTTATCGGTCGCACTCGAAGTCCGAAAGCTCAAAAAGGCTCAGAATGCTGATGTGCCACTGTTGCGAGAGGTACCGGAACTCGAGTTGCACGGTACCGGCCTCTCTTCAAACGAATCGGAGGAGCTTCATCATTCTGTCTCGGAGATGTGTGAGTAATAATCATCAGGTGGCAGAAGAAGCTAGAAATCTGAGATCCGGCCAAAGCTGCACATCTAATTTGCCCAAGCGCTCCAACTAGATGGACATGAAGAGCGAGAAACAATAAAAGCATCATGGTCCTGATACCCGCACGTTGACGGAAACTGCATGGAAAAACACCGCTTGTCTTCGGTCTACAGCGATGGAACACACCCAGAAAAGTGCCCAGATATGTCCAGTGTCTGCAAGTAGCCGCATTTGAGACGCCGGAAACAGGCGATACGCTGCATTATTCAGTTGTTCTATCAATTTCTATCCGCTACCCATGTCCGGGCCGGATAGGTTTGAGCACTCTCGAAGCTCAACTTTAGGGGCGCACCTCCGCAAGGACAACGCCCGAGTACCAGCCTTTCTTCCCCTCGCCAGTCCTGCGGCGATGGGCAGGATGGATGGGAAAAAGACACCACCGTTTGGAAGCCAAAGTGCGCCCACAAGTCCCTGATCCCTCAACTCGAAGGGCCTCAGGTCTCAGGTTCCGACATTTTGCTTTAAGCTGCCGTGCCTCTCTTGTGATTTCGATACTGTCTCGGCAACCTTGCATGTGTGCATGTACTTGTAGGCTGACACCGGTTGCAGCGTCTGTGAACTTCCTACACAGACTTCCCCATTCAGCTTGTGAGCAGGATTCCGGGTCCTCAAGTTCAACTGCGTGAAGGGGAAGCCTGGTCGGAGATACGTGTCGGAGCATTTTTAATGAACGTGCGGAGGGCTGGAAGCTGCGGAAACAAGTCCAGGTTCTGCAGACTACATGCACGAGGAAGGTCCCTCACTAAATCGAGGCTGCACAGTATAGTTTCTATGCTTTCGAATGTAACGATTGAAAGTGCAACAGAGAGTGCAGCCATTGCAGCCACAGTTCTGAGACGTGGCAGAAGCATCGGTGACCACAAACTGAATGTTGGGCTGCAGAGTGCAGGCAATGACAAGATGGATTGCCATCCGGACGATTCCCTCAGCGCCCGATGTGGCTATCTCTACTTGGAGCTGCCCTCGATATGTGGTACAGGCATATATGTGTATAATGCATATACTGTAGTCGTACGAACTAGAAAATATGATATACAGGGCACCCTCGACTTGACCCCCGTGCTGCTACAGCCTCTTCACTCAGTTTCCCAGGCGGGGTGCCTGTCTGGCCATTAAACGCATGCAGCAGCTTGTCGCCAAGCTCTCGGGCCTTCGAAGAGAGGAAACCCACGTCGCAGTTCGCCAAGGTCAGGGCAGATATAAGATGAATATAGGGGTTATAAGGGGTGATGATAGGGTTTCGTTCATCCACGTGCGGGTACACATCTGTATTTTCAAGACTTGTCCGAAGTAGCTTCCGGGCAGAGAAAGTCCTTTTTCCACAGCCCTCTAGCTAGGGCAGCTAGGGTGCGGCTGGGCCTGGGAGAGTGCCCCGCAAACTGGAGAAGTGAAGTCCCTTCGTACAACTTTGCGGTCAGCGGCAAGCTGCGACCCCACCGAACGGGAAACAAAAAAACGACACTGGAAGCAAAAGATCAAAGCCAAGAGCTTCAAGCTTGCGCCAGGCCACCTTCTGCAGAAAAATGGGACGTCCCGACAGAGCGTGAGCAGAGAGAAGCCCACCTGGCTGCAGTGATCGGTGGAAGGAGCTCCGGGTCTTTGAACCACCCGTCTACACCCGGACCATGCTCATGCCAGGATTACCACCCTCCAACCAAAAGCTAGATCCGAACCGACTTGAGTCTTAGGTGGTCCTGTGTTCGACATGTTCGATTCTCGAAGGCATGGTGCACGTGCATGGAATGCAAACTTGGCGAGATTCGTGATTAGTCGGCTTGCAAAGTCGAGCTGCTGTGTCTGCTGGGCTTGAGAGCCAGGGTATGCCTTTACATAATCCTGAACCGACAAGTAAAACCCTAAGCTTGTGGCCTACATGGCGTATGGGGTTCAATATCGATGACCTGCCCCCTCCCTGCCTAAGGCTCGAATCGTAATTTCGAAGAAGGACACCGGAGCAGGGTGGTCGAACCTGGATAGTTGACTTGACAATTCAGAGTTAAGGGATGGACGGCTTTCGAAGCAGAGTTTAAGAGTCGTATGAGCATGGCTTTGAGTCTTTGAGCACAGAAGTGTCAGTGCTGCGGAGTTGTTCCAGGAACCTACTGCCAGCTCTTGAGCATCCTACACGCACTATGTTTCCGTTTAGTGTCGCCTGACTCTGAGGATTTCAGGCTTGACCTTTTCGCTGGCCTGATATTTGGAATTCAGATTTGAGGCATCTGGCTACAGGGCGGTCGTCGGGGCATGTGCAACGATAGCCCCACGAGGCAAACTACACTAATCTTAATCGCAGAGTGAAGCCGGCAAACACTGAAATACTGCCTCCCACGCTTTGCTTAGACTAGCTAAGGTGCAGCTGATATTGACCTGTACAGACTGCCCGGCGGGGAAGCGCTGCGGTTTGATTCCGACAAGTCCAGCGAGACTCTCACGGCTTGGGACTGGTAGCTTCTGCATCTCACATTCAAGTTTCAGGTTGTCGGGGTTTGGGCAAGCTTCCCGGTCCGCATGCTGCACTCCTAAACAGCCTGAGCTCTAAACAGCCAGGAAGCTTCAAACTCTGCGCCACCCAGTCAGCTGCCTCGTCGAACTGGTCCTGGTGCCACGTGACGACGAGTTGCAGTTGCAGACTTTGGCAGGGATTCCACATACAATCCAATGCTGTAAGAATCTAGTGAGCGACTAAGGCTGTGCGAGTGCAAGGAGGTTCAACCCCTCGGACTATTCACTTTAAATATATGCGCAACGTAAGAAGTCTAGGTGGATGAGCAGCCTGTATGCTATCGACTGTGAGTCGTAGCACAACAGCACAACAGTCAAAGTAGAGCAAGGCAAAGGAAGACCCATCCCAGCTTTCGCCGCTTGTCGCGGGTTTGTTTTCCGAAGCTAGGGGAACCAAAAAAAAGCCCTAAAATATAGTATGATCCTTATTATACCTAGACCCTCCATCTACCTTCTATTAGAACCTAAATGAACATTGTTTGGGACCATATACCCCTATTTGAGGGTACCAGGAGGGTCCTGGTAAGGACCCCCAAACCAGGTTCCCCCCTAATTTTCGGGAAGGCTCCCATGTCAGAGTTCGAGGACCTCGGTTCTACGACCGGCTGCCTGGGATAGGCTTGCCTTAACCGACACAACCCTACCTTTTTATTTTTGTAAGTTCTTATCATCAAAACAAAACCCTAAGATGAATTTTATCATAAAAACCCTAATATGAATTTATAGGAACTGTACAAAAAAGTAGGTTTTGGTAGGTTATAAGGTGGTTAAAACTGAAAATCTGGCACACCGAAAAGACTGCGCCTTGAGGTCCATGATCCAAAGTGTGGAGAGAGCATCTAAGATCCTCGGCTGGACAGCAGCCGGCTAAGGCCACTACTGCTGGCCACGCTAGGATCGGTTTAGGATTTAGGTTTATAGGGCTTTTTTGACACTCACACTCGGACAAAGCCTGGCAAGGTCTGTAGCGATGGTAGGTCATTCGTTAACAGCTAACCGGCACGTGTCACCAGCAAGCAAGTCGAGAGGGTCCCAAAGCACATTTTAGGCAAAGGAACAAACTGTCAAGTACCATGTATGACACGCCAACACCAAATGCACATGCATATATTTCATGGTTTTGACAGCAGACCACCACCGGACAACCGACTAGGAGACCCGACACAGTAGAAACCCCAGCCCCTAGTTCAGTCCGGTAGGTAGCCAAGTGAAACTTTCGCACACTACACTGCTGGTTGAGTCTGTACTACGAATCGTCGCTGCTTCACGGGTTTCCAGATTTCACGCATCATGCAGTTTGCCAGGTACATGCAATCAACAGTTGCGCAGATCATGCAGTGGACCTCAACGTGCACTTGCAGAAAAGGCAGGCAGTCATCCGTTTCGCATCAGTCGACCGTGTTATTTACGTCCGACTGGTACTTGCTTTGGTAACGTTGGCCCATGCAGTAAATGCCATGCTGTAAATTCGCAGACTGCAAGCCACAGGTCACAGCCACACCAAGTTTGTTACTGCTCTCCGTAGCACAGGCCCATGCAGTAAATTCCATGTTGTAAATTCTCGGACTGTAAGCAAAGGGTTCACAGCCTGATTCGAAGAGCCATAGTTTTGTTGGATGAATCAGCTCTCTCACCCGCCGAAGTGACCAGAGCATATGCAGATGCCCTTGCCCTGCCAGTGAATAACCAGAAACAAATTCTCATGCATGGTCGTGCAGACAAGCAGGTGATCATGCTGATCGTAAGGTTTCCATGTAGAAGCCTCTGCATATAGCTGCCCACCAAAGCCACAATTACCACTGCAACTGGGCTGATGAGCCCTTGGTGTTCAGTCACCGCTTCCCTGACAGAAAAAGGTTGCCATGCCAGTGAGTGACCATAAACGAATTCAAATGCATATAAATTCGTCGGAGTCGTGCAGGCATGCAGATGATCATGCCGGTCGTAAGGTTTCCATGTAGAAGCCTCGGCACGATCTGTCCAGCTCATAGTCCACGTAAAGAAACCATGATCTCAGTCGAATTCTAGCAAAGCACTGACCCAGATGATCCCAGAACGGGTGCCCGTTGTGCGGCACCAGCGGGATTGCCGCTGCAGGCTGAGCTTGCAGCACCATCATGCACTGACATGTAAGCTGATTCCAGTAAGCTGAAATAGCCCCGTGGCATGCAAGTTCCGGCATATACATTTCCAGCTCTCGCACAAACCCACGAACATTGGACGCATACAGCGCTGCGTGCTCGCTCTCCTCAAACAGGCGAGCGAAGACACTGGCCACCGGGGCTTTCCGGCCCTGGTGGTGTAGGGACGCTGCCTGAAGGAAATTCTTATCGGCAATTGAGTCCATTGCACCTGACAGGGCTCCTAATACGTGGGCCAACTTCTTGTGATCATCAAGGGCCTTGGTGTTGCCGGCTAAACCTGGTAGCATGTACGCCCCGAAACGGGCGTAGCGGAGAGGATTCGCCAGGATTTGCCGGGACTCTTCAAAGAAGCGATCCGGCGTTAGTGGGAGGTCCACGAAGGCGAAGAGATCTGCTTCTGCCCCGAATATGCGGGTGAACAACTGCAGCATTTCCATGACCGTCGCTGCTGCCGTCACTGCCCTCACTCCGGCGATGGCGCCTTTCAGATAGGGCGAGGCGGCTGCCAGGTCCAAGGTGCGGTAGAGCCCACTGACGAGTGTCCCCATTTGGAACAGATTTCCGATCAGCGACGACTGCTTCCCTGACACATACCCTGCGGCTGCCCACCCGCATGTGGTCGCCACAGCCCATGGGGTATCGATCCCAGTTTTGCCTAAGCGATCACGTCGCATGCTCACGGCCAGATCATTATTCGATAGCGCGTGTCCGGATGCCAACCGCACAAGCAACAACGACAAATGCCAATCTGCGTGGGGGGCCAGATCCAAAGATACGTTGTTAGCTATCTCCGTCATGTCTGCAGCTGTGAGGGTAGATTGCCGAAGAGCAAGCACGGCCGCTCCTCCGAAGATCCACGACCCAGTTACCACTTCGAAGAAGGTCGCCGCAGTGATGATTCGGCGAACCATCTCCGAATCATCTCCCGCTCGGTCTATCAGGGTGGCGAATCGATCTGTTGCCGCGAAGGACGCCGACGTGACTGCCGCCCTGAGAGCCAAGTCGCGGAAGTATGTCCCATCACGTTCCTGCGTTTTTAGGCGTGTCGACCCCGCAACCACCCTCACGGCCTCCGTGATCAGTATTCCCAGTGGTCCACGTCGCGATCGCCTGTCTGGTATTATCAGTCAGGATTTCAGCCATGCAGTCGGCAGTAGATGCCAACATCGCCTCCGATATGACCTCCAAGGTCTTGTCAGTGGAATGCAGGATCAACATCGCCGCTGTGTTGTCTGCAAGCGCTTTCAAGCTTTTCTCAGCGCGATCCTTCCCTGGGCCGTCCATTCCCCGACCGGCCTGGGTCATCGCCTGTCGGGTTCGATATCCGGCCCGGACGTGCTCTTCCACTTTCGTGAAGGCTATGTAGCGAATCATGCCGGCGAGCGCTGCATGGCGCGACGACGGCACCCCTTGCACGGGGCCTATGGCCGCGAATGCAGCGCCGGCAGCCGTTGGTGCCGGAGCCCCGCCCAGCATCACAGCTCCTAATGCGGTCACTACATCAACATAGAAACCAGTCGGTCTGATCTCCAGCGCTTGGCAGGCCTCGGAGAATCCTTGCTTCGCATTGGTCCTAGCATCCGTGAGCTGATCCGGGGTAAGCTGCGTGCTGCTGGAGAAGAGAGCTCTGGTCTCCGGTTCCACGAGCCTCATAAGGTCAGCCCTGGCTATCCAATCGGTCCCTCCATGTACCTGGCATGAGTGCAATACGAAACCGGATAGCTCGGCTTCCGTCAGATCCATCAGCTGAGCTGCTGGAGGCATTCTAGCCACCAAGCGATTCGCCGATGACTCAGGCTCCAGCAGTAAATGCCATTTGCCTGGGCCTCCACCCAAAAACCCCAAATTCGAGGTAGTAGACTCGTTGCCCGATGCCAAAAGAGCTTGGTATAAGTCTCCAGCTGGCGGGGTCAGCAACTGAACGTCGGCTGCCACGTCGTCCCATCCTGTCAAGGCCGCTTGCTTAGCATCGGCGTGTTCAGTTATGGTGTTCTCGTAGAGTCTGTCTACGAGATCAGATGACATAAAGTCACGCCGGGCTCCGCCAGCCGCGCCTGGCATGATTCCACCCCGAGCTGGAGCACCAGGGGCCGCCATGCTTGCCGTCAGAAGGCGAAAGACAGGTAGAACTAATTACGTCCCAGACAGGTCTTGAGCTGTAGCCATTTTGTTTATAGGGTTTAGGGCTTAAGGTTCTAGTATGAAGACAGATGAACGAAGACGTGCTCGCAAAATTCCGCATGCGCAGATGTCCTCACGGACTCCGCTAAAACCGTTCCATATTCAGCCAGAAGTAACTTCATCAACCCTAAGGCCCTCAAAACCCTAATTAAACCCCAAAGCCCTTCCCTCTGATGATCTGCATAGTAGAGGTATCTTAAACTATAGTGGTATTGTCATACTAGTGCTGCTATTCAAATGGCTTCAATACCTCTGATCTGCATGGCCAGTGTCTGGAGGCCGGTATTGCCCCACACCCTTCCAGGTGCACCTTCCGGGCTACAGGACTCAACAGAACCACGTAGGCTCTAAGGACTTTTTGTTGGGTTTTAGGGTTTAGGGTTTTGCTTGCCCGTATGGTAAGAACAAAGGTTCTAAGGCGTTCAAACTGCTTCTCGCGCGTTTAGGATGAATACAACGAATTCAACTATGAGGCTTCGTTGTTGGGGCTAAAGACGAGCAGGCACTCGAATCGGCGGGAACTGGGATAGTCTACTCTAACTCAAGAAACATAGGTAAATCCTTTCACGGCTTGGTCCCAGATCTTACCAAACACCTCCAGGCCTGACACGGGTTTCATCTCATCTTTGCCCCACGCTCGCTCACGGTATCCCTTCCAGGCGTGAATGGCCGCATTCCTGCGGGTTCAGGGACTTCTTGGTCTCCACGGGGTAAGGGACTTCGGGTCACTTTAGGAGCCCAGAACATCGAACGACTGGACAGGAAGATGACGGCCGGAGTGACTTGAAAACTGCTTTGGCGCCTATGGCAGGTATACAATCCTTCATGGTGTTAAGGGTTGCAGGGCTTAGGGTTTAGGGAGTTAAAGATGTTCATTGAAGGATTCGGCAGATTTGTGCCTGCCTGGATCTTGAGCATTAAATGGCCGAAGAGAGCCGTAGGATTCGGACCCTGCAGCTCCTGCAACCGTCAAGTAATATAGGGGCCTTGATAAATAGTATAGGGTTTTGGGGTGAATTATACTATAACTATAATCAGGAACCCCCAAAATTCTTTAGGTAGTTCTTCAGGCCCCTATAGTATCGGAGTTGAGACAGTCGAGTCGAAGGCATAGAGCTTCTCCCAGTAGAAGGTCTCCTTGGGAGACGTCCAAAACGGTTACCGGACCATAAGAGTCTAATGTGGGAGACTGATGAATTCGGTGGGTTCTGAGGAGCTCTTGTGTATACACCATAGGTGCATTGGGGAACCCTGAGGAGTAAAAATGTTAGTCATTCTTTACACCCGTATTAAGATCGGGCAGATAGAGTTGGCCTCCTGCGTCCCGAGACCACGACCCTGTCTACGGACCCCTAAACGGGGTATTGGTATCAGCATTAGTGTCATCATGCATAATAATAACATTAGTATTACTATGAGGAGTAAGATTAACAATAACCCAGGTACTAATATTGATTTTGATATGAATACGAAGATTACATTCAGAAAGCCCGGCAGCAAAAGATCCGACCTCGCCATGAGCCGCCACTGCTCAGCTTCTTTGGCTGAGGCCTCACGACTTGTGTTGTGAATTAGGGTTGGTTTAGGGTTTTCTGTGGGTTTACTAAGGGTTACTATTCGGCTTCAACGCTCACTCTCGCACAAGGCAGGCAAGGCTCCACATACTATTGGGTTTAGGGTTTAGGATTTAGGGATTTCTTTGGGCTTGTTCAGGGTGCATATCGCACCAAAATGGTGTGCCTGCGTGCGTGTGTGCGTGTGCGTGTGCGTGTGCGTGTGCGTGTGCGTGTGCGTGTGCATGTGCGTGTGCGTGTGCGTGTGGGTGTGGGTGTGGGTGTGGGTGTGGGTGTGGGTGTGGGTGTGGGTGTGGGTGTGGGTGTGGGTGTGGGTGTGGGTGTGGGTGTGGGTGTGGGTGTGGGTGTGGGTGTGGGTGTGGGTGTGGGTGTGGGTGTGGGTGTGGGTGTGGGTGTGGGTGTGGGTGTGGGTGTGGGTGTGGGTGTGGGTGTGGGTGTGGGTGTGGGTGTGGGTGTGGGTGTGGGTGTGGGTGTGGGTGTGGGTGTGGGTGTGGGTGTGGGTGTGGGTGTGGGTGTGGGTGTGGGTGTGGGTGTGGGTGTGGGTGTGGGTGGGTGTGTGTGTGTGTGTGTGTGCCATTTGCCTTGTCTCTGTCAGTTGATCTGTCCGTTCATCGTCCTTTCCTGGGCATGAGCTTGAGACTCGAAGTTCAATCTTTTGTGCTGAAAACTTGTTCAGCCTCTCTGCTGAGGCCCATGACACTATTATCCACGCAGGTCACACTCCCGAAACGCCGAAGATTCATTCAGGACAGATTTCAGGCATATGTTCGACCGTTTAGCTCCCTTCCTGTCATTTCGAACCCCAAACTCGCAAGCACCCATCAAGCCTGCAAGCACCATCAGCGGTGATACTCCACAAACAAGCATAATCCTCGGTACCCTATATCAAACCTCAACAGGAAGCCTAATCCTGAACCCCAAACACTGCAGCCGGTGTGGCGCTATAGCCTCAACCCCCCGCCCACAACCCTAAGCCCCCAACATCCCCAAACCCGAAACCCTCCCACCCCAAACTTCTAAAACCCTCAACGCCGAACCTGAAACCCTAAACCCCCAAACCCTCAACCCCTAACCTGAAATCCTGAACCCTGAATCAAGAAACCTCCAAAACGCAGCCTCCAGGTCCGAAGCGGAGAAGCGGTGAAGCCACTGTTCTGGCCACTCCTGAAGCTCCAAAGTTTGGAAAGCTTTGAGCTCAGGTCTATGTTCAGGGTTTTGAGGGATGAACTTATCTTAACCACAAAACCCTGCCGTTTTCAGGACTTATAAATACAAGAAAATAAAGATTACACTGAAAAGGTTTGGGTTCAAGTATGAGCTTGATAGTGTCAGGTTTGCTTGTTTGCTTCTTTCGAGCTTTAAGGATTTAAGGTCTCAGGGTTTTAGGGCGTTTCTGCTCTCACAACTCGGACAAGCCAAGCGAGGTTCACAAGATACTGGTCGGCGTATCACATGATGCTTCCTTTCAGGGTGTTAAAGGGCTTGGTATGATTTCTTTAGAGAGGTCGCAGGAAAAGTTAAGCTTCCACCATGAATTAGATTATTATTATTATTATTATTATTATTATTATTATTATTATTATTATTATTATTTGGGTTTTTAGTTCATCTAGGCGATGGTTCTGGTGGCCGCTGAGCCCATCTCCGACCCACCCCCACCCGAAGGACTCCTCCAGCTTTCAACTGCTCAAGAGGCGACGACGATTCGTGCCACACCCTTCGCGCCCCCTAATATAGGGGCCTTAATAATTAGAAAAGGGCTCCCTCTAACGGGCTCTATAAGGGATCTATAGTAGGGTTCTATAGTATAGAGGCCTCAATAATCAGAATAGGGTTTTGGGGCCCAATAGACTATGATTGCAATAATGAAACCCCCACGTAGTATAGGTAATTATTTGGGCCCCCTATAGTACCGCGTCCTGAAGCGGTAAGCTGCAGATGGTCCACGACAGAACCCTTCTTCCTGCGCCTTCAACTCCGAACTAAGCCCTTGACCCTGACCCTGTCGTGCTCAAGGTGCAAAGACCCAGCAAAGCAAGCCAGAGCTATGCTGAACTTAGAACCCTAGCAAAAAATATAATTTTAGCTGCTTCTTAGGGGTTATAATGACCGAAAATAACAAAATAATTCTAAGTACCCCTAAGAGAGTCACAAAAGCAGCTGTTCACTCTTCAGATGAGCGGCTGCGCTGCTGCCGGATGGACTTGGGGAATGTTCCGGCCCTCAGGCGACGAAGGCATCTACGTGGTTGCTCAGGCAAGTACACATAACACACCGCATGTGCAGTATGTCGACTGTGGACTGCATACATACGTACAAAGTACTCTTGAATTCACTCCCTCACTCACTGACTTGCTCGCTCACACACAAATATTTTGCTTCATTCGTTGGCTGGTTCGTTCATTCGTTCGTGCATGCGTTCATTCAATCATTCATTCAGTCATGCAAATACAACACTTGCATTACATACGAACACACACACACACATGCGAACATACATAGAAACATGAACTATGCATGGATACCTGGAAACATACACACCTGCATACACAGACACATGCATACAAACGCCCTCGCCCACTCGCTCACTCACTCACTCACTTCCTTCACACTATATGCTGCATGCGCTAGGCGTGCAGGTATATGTAGATAAGTAAACCCATAAATGAATATATATATATATATATGTATATATATATATATATATATAACCATATATATCTATATGTATGTATGTATGTATGTATGCATATGCATGTACGTATTTATGTACACGCACGTATATATATATATATATATATATATATATGTATATGTGTGTGTGAGCCTTTCAGTATATCTCTCTCTCTCTGGATTGTCTGCATGCTTTCGCGCATATTCACGCCGTATAGAGGTACTAACGCTCTACGTACTTGTTTTGCTTTTATGTTGCGTCTGTCATTATAGACGACAAGGGTAAGAGTCTGAGTAAGCTGTTCTTACTTCAAGCCTTGCAGCCCCGATGCCACAAGTCACAGATCCCCACACCTGCCCTACTGAGCCCGAACTCGATACACCATCATGAGTTGCAACATACCCACACGGCAGACGCACCCATGTAGCACACTCGAAGTAAAGCATAAGCAGAGCACAAGGTCCGGGTCCATGACGACGACAACTAGCGCCATGTAGTCACAGGTTGTAAATTGAACGACTACAAAAGTAGTTGACCAAGCAGTTTGATGGGTGATCCAAATACTGCTAAACGCGCGGCCTGATTCCTCGTGTGGCGCCTGTGGCGCCTCGGTCGGCATCTCGGGCGGCATGGTCTGCACCTCAGCAGACTCAGCAGGCAGTCACGTCAAATCGTTCTTTGGTAAGTCCACAACACGCATCGCAAGGTAAAGCGAAGGCACGAGGCCGCTAAACTGATGGGTGCGCCGAGTCTGACACACCCGCACACGCGCACACAATCAGTATCCTGTTTGGGGGGGGGTGGAGTTGACACGCCACCCCCTCCTCTCCATAAGGTAGTTGAATCCGTTTCAGGCTCACGCATGACATGGAATAGAGCCGAGTTGAGGGCAAGGGTTCTGCGAAATTTCAGTAGGGGTTCTGGGAGGAGGAGGTAGGCTTGGCTCCGCAAAACACAACCGCTCAGCTCCCCCGGTGTCAGGAGACATCGGCTTTCCTGAATCCAGTTGCCAATGCCCCGACACTGATACGTAGAAGCCTTGCAAAGGAGGCCACCGGATCTTCACGTGATAGGAAAAGTAGCGGCCTTGCACATTTTCCTGGTATGTGAGCATCCGGTGGCCTCCTTTGCAAGGCTTCTACGTACAAGGGCCGGGGCATTGGCAACAGGATTCAGAAAAGCAAAGTCTGCTGGCACCGGGGGAGCTGAGCAGCTGCCGGCCACACGCAGAGAGAGGCATTGGTTCCGAGATTCGTCACTGTATTAAACCCTAAATGCACTGTTCTGCGGAGCCAAGCCTACCTACCTTGTTCCACGAGTGGTTCACTGTGAACTGCCTTTGACAATTCATGTAGTACTACCATCTAAGAGAGAGTTGGTGCTGCACAGCCCGTCTGAGAGCCTCCGACTCCTTTCTCAGTAAGCCGGTGTCCTGCGGAAACCAAAGGAAACTATCTTGAAATGGAAAACGCCTCAGTATCCCAGGATGACTCTGAAATTACAAGCCCGACCCCCACCCCCAAAGTAGTAACTCCGACCGCCACCGAAGCTGCCCTGAAATATTTCAGAGCCTTACCTCCCCCCTCCTGCTTCAGGCCCCAAGGGGTGGGTGTTTCTTGCACACACACACACACACACACATTTAATCAAACATCCTCTGCTAAGCAATTTGAGCGCTGAACCATGTGAAAGCACTGAAGCCACTGGTGCAGGCAACGCGGCCGGTATTGCTGGTGCATCGCTGCTGAGGCGGCTCACGGCGGCCTTTCTAGACCCAGAAGTAAATTGCTGTCATACAGCGGATCAGGCTTAGGGCTTCTAGGGGCTGTATGGAACATCATAAGGCTTTAATATTCAGCATTTGGAGTTCGGGGCGAGGGTCGTCAGGGACCTGCATCAAGGGGTATCTTCTGGGCTATAGAGCACAAGAAAAGGATTCTGATCGTGAAATTATGATTCTCCGATCTGGCGTGTCGTTGCAGGTCTCGAGATCAACGTCTTTGAGAAATGCAAAACGAAAACGAGACCGGTTGTGTCGGCCACTGTCCCCTGCGAGATAATGTGCCCGACGGAAAACACCGGGCCTCCAAAGCTTCAAGTCATCAGGTCACCCACGTCTGCCCCCAAAGATTTCAACCCTCACGCAGCCAACGGTCTCGCCTGCAGCTTGGCGATCTCGTTGTACTGCCTGAGCAACTACCGCTGGAAGCTGCTGTCGCTTAAACTGGCACAGCCTTCACTGTGGCCTAGCATATTAATTTTGAAACGCCGCTTCGTTTCGCACATCTACTACCGGGAACAGCCCTGCACATGCTAGGGGTCTGACCTGTAATCATGACATCACTGTCGTTACTGTGGCAGCTGTTGTGGCCATCTTGATGTTGGCATCTCGCATGGCATGACTCCAGTCTTGCTTGTGAGCCTTGTTCTTCATGAAGTTCTTGCCTCTACTTCGCTAAAATGTTTCGGCACGCAAAAGCAGTAGCCGTAGAAACAGCAACTGTTGTCCAAGCATGTCTGGTTGGCAAACGGTCACACCAAGCCTGTTCAGCTCCTCCTGGTGTTGCTTCTTCAGCTCTTTCATCTTCCGCAGCACTGCCTGGCCACTCCCGGGGCGCATGGGACTAAGGACTTCCGTGGATCTGCGGTTCTATACTGCACGAAGCTTGAGGAGCGTCCGTCCCGATCTGTTGCAACCCCCTGACGGATTTTGCGGCGAGCTCGCTTCCGAGGACGTGCAACTGACAAACGAGGAGCTAATGGTCGTCTGCACACCAGCCGATAGTGTTGAAGACACCCAACACACACGCGACTCAGTACGATAAGAACAGACGCAAGAGTATGTGCAAAGATGTGCAAGGCATAAGTGTCATCACGCATAATAACCACATGTTGTACTCGTCATGGAAAGACCCGTCGATATATAAGTATTAAAATCCCAATGACCCGTTGCCTTCTAAGGACCCTGCAACCATCCCTGTACCGATCCCCACCTTTCCTCCCAAAGGCCCAAAACACGGTATACCGGTGGTTCATACGAGAGATAGGAGCGATCAGGCCGGAAGGCTGTGTCGGCAGAGCCCTCCGGCAAATTCGCCACAGGGAGCTGCGCAGGGGATGGCTGCTGAGCCAGCTGGTCCTGACAACGTGCAAGCACTCCTAACACCTAACATTTCATGGCTCAGGGTTGAGAGTCTAGTAACTTATTAGAGATACTGCTTTGGACTTTGGTTCGAAAGGGTAAGAAGTTGAGGATTCTTGAGCACTTGATCCCCAAATGCGAAAGCCTAAACGGCTGCTCCAGACACACCAACCATTTTGATGCTTGATGTTTGAGGACTCTGTTTTGACTTTCAAAACCCTAAACCTAAAAGCCCCAGTAATCCCTCAACCCTAAACAAGCCTTATCCTTTTCTTGCATCCAGGCCTATTGCGACTTTAATCCTAAACCCAAAATCCTTAACCTGCCACGGATAGCTTCGCGGCCCATCTCGGAAGGAGCTCCAGTAGCCAGGTCATGCTCCCACTCTATACGGTCTAGGGCTTAATGAGTATAGTATAGGGGCTTCGGGGTTTAGGGCATATATTAGTGATGGAGACAGAGATCATCAGCTTCTTGATACATCGTGTCACTGGATGGGTGATAGCCCGAAAACGCACCAATGATCCATGCACGGCATGGCTTGCAAGTGCTACAGCTTTCTGGCGAGGGGCCCTGAACTGGCGAACCTTTAAACCCTGCAAACCAGCAAGCTTATGTGCCGTCTGCAGTCTGTCGTCTTTGTAATCTTGTATTAGGGACTATATGGGATTGAAGTCCATGACGAGCGCTCGAAACTAGTCGAAAACTCTCGCCTCAGCATCCGTCACGCACGTGCGTGTGGTTCATCCGATGCTTCACTAAATCCTTCTCCCACACCATTCGCATTCCTCCTACACATGAGTTACCTCCGCGCATCAGAAAGATACCATGTGCCTATGTATGTATGGATGCATGTATGCATCATAGCAATAGTGTATACACTCTCACACTGGCACAGAAACACACACAGACACACGTACACACACACATATATATATATATATATATATATACATATATATATATATATATACATACATACAGACATACAGAGATGCATGCACGTACATACATACATACATATACATACATACATACATACATATACATACATACATATATATATATATATACATATACGTATATACAGTGTATATATATATACACACACGAAATACGTGCAACAGTCTTTACACGCACACCAGAGCACACAAAGCTTATACAGTCTCCGGTCATACTGAGGCGTACACGTGTTCACTGTCGCATTTGTGCTGTGGCCATGAGCTTGTGTACGGGTCCCATTTGCGCATAACTATGCGGACATGGTTGTGTGTGCATGTACATATATATATATATATATACATATATATATATATATACATAGTCGTACATGAGCGCTCGTCGACAAAGTAAGCAAAACTGTGGCCTCCACTTGGTGGAGCTCTTTCCTTAGTAAGCAAGGGACACCAATCCCACGACTGAGTGGGGCGTTCATTGTTTATTTGGGCCTCGTGTAAACACAGGCCAAGTACATTCGCGCACCAGCGTCTTCGCGATCTTTTGTGGGGGCTCTGACTCAAGCCGGACTTCTCAACCGGAAAGCCGCTCATGAGGAATTGCAGCCCAAAAACCAGAAGTCAGAAGCATCACCCCGAGTCTGAAGGGAACTTCTGGGCTCGGCACATAGGTCTTGAGCAAAAGCCCCTGCTGCCTCCCCTGCTCCCCTAAAGACGAACCGTGGTGCAACTGCGATTAGAGCTGTATCTTGCAACATCATCGCGCCGCGGGATATGAGTGCAATGCAGTTACCTCGCCTTCGTCTGCAGCATTGCTCATCTCGATCGGTGAGTGTACAATCCCTCAATAAACTGCAAACCCCAATTGAACACCTGCGGCCCGTGTGGCTGCTGCCCAACCAGCAAGTTGTTCAGCTGCCCCATCAATCGAGTCAGCCTTGGAGAATGGAACTCTGCCTTTCTTTGAAATCATTGGGGCTTGAGCAATTATAATGTCCATGCAAGGTTTGGAAAACGACACGGCAGGTATCTCAAAGTGAGAAGCCCGATTCTGCCACCACAGCCGTCATGTGAAGTGCGCCATTTGTTGTGCAGGGCTTTGGGGTTTATAATGGTTTCGACTCACACACTCGCACGAGGCTGGCATGGCTTAAGGCAATAAGTCCGCTGAGATGATGGGTTTGGGCTCAGGCGTCTGTGGTACGGCCTTGTTTCAGACATTGAAAGCTCCAGAACGATCTCGGGGATCGCAGCCTTCGTAATGGAAATGATCTGAGATTTGTCAGTGTTGTGTCTATGGAAATGATCTGAGAGCGACGCGGCGAAGCGAAGCTGGCGGGTTTACGCTGGAGCAATTCAGGATCTCTGTAACAAGTCCCTGATTTCAGTGCTGGAACCCCGGTAGTTCCCAAGACTCTTGACACCCAAAATCCTGAATTCCCAGAAGCCTCGCAAACATAGCTTCCCGTTACCTTCAAACCTCGGACCCCGAAGCCTGCTAAACCCCAACCCAGACAACTCGCAACTGTCTGGTGCTAAGCAGGGAATGGGGGAATGGATCCCTATAGTGGTCCTACATAATCCCCAATAATAGTCTCCATAATCCATTCCCGCCTTCTCTACTAAGAACCATGCGGGTTCAGGGCTAAAGGCTTCCCAGGAAGGGGAATCTGCGCAAGACACAAACAAAGAACATCTAAAACCATCATGCCTACCTTATAAACTACCATAACCTACTTTTTGTAGATTCTTATTATGAATACCTAATATGGATTTTATAAGGACCCTACAAAAAAAGTAGGTTTTGGTAGGTTGAGGTATACTTTACAAACCCTGTCAGCCGTGCAAAAGCGTAAACCCTATGCTTCAAGTAAACTTTCAGCCCCCACACCATTCAAAGGGGAAAAGGGGACCCTCATATAATGGGGACCCCTACCCTAGAATGGGCTATATAATGGGTATATAATGGCTATATTAAGGATATATACCTAGGGGTCCTTATCAAGGGTCCCTCCTTTTACCCTTGGAACCATGGGCATCTTGCAGCATAGCAACTCTCGCTGCTGGAGAGCTAGGGCAGTGAGGTTGGCCTCGTGGACCTAACGGCTGCGAGATAGTTGGACTAGGTTTTTAGGGGCTTGTAGGAGGGACTCATGAGGGATTAGGCGTGTGATGTCGAGATCTTAGTCATTCCAATGGTTCCTACGGCGATTTAGTCACCTAGAGATAGAAGGATTTCGGGTTGGTGTAGGATTGGTTTCTTCTCTCTGGCATGGCTAGGACGATACCTTAGATTTGGATTTAGGGTGTGTAGGGGCATTAAGGACTCGGACACATCCATGGTTTCGGAGAGTAGGGCCCTAAAACTTCGGCTGAGACGCTCGCGGTTTGATATCTGAAGGTTTGCAGATTATCCCGAAGAGTTCGGGCTTCGTGCCAAACGTCGCCTCAAACAAAGGGCCAATGAGTCAAACCACTGAGCCCTAAACACCAAACCCCAGACTTGGGCCCACTTCTCGTCAGGGCTATCTATTTATGAATTCACGATTATCGGTTAGTGACCCGGGCATGCACGTGACGTTGTCAGTGTTACCTTTCCTACATCTGCATAGAAGTGCTACGAAGGCCTGCTGCAGATCCAAACCACCCTACACAAATACTCTAATCCTGAAGCACATCCCCCTGTTCTTCGGTTGCAATTCTGCACCGTCCTTAATTTGACGAATCCCTGAATTAGCCACCTCTCATGTTCCGAATCCCACTTGCTGTAGTTCCTAAACCCTAAACCCTCTCTCTCTCCACCCTAAAACCCTAAACCCCTAAAACCCTAAGCCCCTAAAGCCCAGCCCCTCAACCCCTGAACTCTAAACCCCTAAAGCCCTTAACCCTAACCCCTAAACACAAAAAAACCCTAAACTCTGCCCCTAAACCCCTTTTACACCTGAACTACACATATGCCAGGAACCGAGGCGCCGCCCCTAAACCCTAAACCCTGAAACCCGAATCTTGGCCTGCAGATAGTGCCATAGCCGGGCATTCTGGCTCTGTGACTCCTCGGTGTGTTTGACACTTCGCCTAATACCGGGGCCTCATGTAATAAATAGAATGGGCTTTGGGGTGTAGATTATCCCATGGTTATGATAAGGAACACCCACAATAGTATGTGGAATTATATTGAGGTCCCAATATTACAGGGTATGAACCCACCCCTGGCAAACCGCAGCTGCTGGCTTCGAGACGACTGCAGTTCCCTTTCGCTGATTTTCCGAGGGTCAAATTTGCGGTCCCCAAGCAGAACGTGGGTCATGGCTCTGACCCCCCATGGGTGTGCTTCGAGCTGTGGGATGGAGGCTGGTTGGAGCCCATCCTGCTCGTCAGATCTGAGAATCATCGGGCCAAAGTTCTGTCAACGCAGCCTTCCCTCCTTAAACCTGCCCAAGCTCTGCGACCTTGCACCCATGGTCAGATGCCCAAGTTCAGATTGTTTTTACTGGGGTGCGTGGGGTTTCGGAGTGCCATATCTTTGGGGGAAGGGGGGGGGGGGGGGGGGGGGGGGCTGAACAGCGGCCTTGTCCCCACTGCCACAACTTTCGCGAAATCACACATGCACAGGGTGCTGCAATGCAAACATGCAGCAAGCCTTTAATCCAAGCATCATAGGCAGGATCCGTGTGGCCGAACAGAAGCACCAGCTGGAAGCTACCTTTGCGAAGCCCCTTGACGTTGTCGGGCTTAAGTATGGCTGAGGCGGAGTTGAAAGTTGAGATCTTGGGGCTAACGGCCCAAAACCCTAAACCCCTAAAACCCTAAACCCTAAACCCTAAGCCGTTAGAGCTGCAACATTTCGTACATCTCACTTTGCTACACCCCGAGCCTGAGGCAAGGTCCAAGCCTTGCCAGTAGGATCCTTCTACTGAAAGGATCATGGGACTTAGTAAGTAGGTTATAACCGGGGTTATAAGTCCCCTAAGTGGGGCTATCCTAATTATAACCTACTTATAACCCTACTTACTAAGTCCCAGGATCCTTTAAGTACAAGTGCTCCCAACCCCAAAGCAATAACCAAAAAGTGACTGCACGTCTTGAGTCCGGGGTTGAGCCAGTCAGCTCGAGGGCTGCAGCTAAAATACGATGGTGTCCGAAGCCATGGCAAGATTCAGGCCGGTGGCTTTGCCAGAACTCTGGGTACTGGCTGTAAGACTAGAATCAAAGAAACAATATCAATAGCAACAGGAACAGCAACAATTGCTAAACAAAAATTAGGAAGAATTTACAAAAAAAGCCGTAACCACCACTCAAACACTTTTGAGCAGCATCGGCCCTGAAACCGCCGAATCAAATTTTCATTCCTCTGAAAGATGCACACATCAGCCCATACCCGAATGCAGCAGGCAACGACTCGATTTTGGCCATCTAGCGAGCATGGGGTACATCAGCGACCAGGCCCCCTTATCTGTTCGACTTTCGGGCCACCGGCTTCTGATTCAAGCCGAGACGCAGATCGTGAAGACCACAGCCACCTGAGTGGTGCAGATCTGTCGGGCTGAGGGAGCTTAAGTGTCGGAGATTGAGGAGACGGTGATCGAAGAGATGCGACCGTTCTTGCCGGATGCGTCTTGCCATGAACCTATATAGAAGCTTGAACTCGAATCCGTTGAAGCTTGACTCTTATCAGCCACATCGTGGAAAGGGGAAAATATCCACGCAGAACCCACAAGACCCGAGCATTGCAGGCCGAGCACGATGAGGCGACCAGCACAGCGATGCTCACGGCAGGAAATCTAAAACGTGTCTGCCACAAAATCCCGACAGAATTCAGCCGGCTGCTCATGCTGAGCCATGCCACCACACGGATTGGCCCAATCCAACAATAAATCCTGCCAAAGTACGCCACAAAAGACGGTTCGCACCGAAAGGAAGCCGCGACCACCGCCGCCAGTGCCATTCGGGACGTCGGCCGTGTGGTGCTTCCGCCTTTCACAGCTTCTGGTCTACGGTTCAGGGCAGTTTAGTTTTTGGGTTTCACAGGAGGCCTGGATGGCTTTTCGGCCGGCAGCGGCATGTCAAACACCGGAGGGGCACATGAGCGATGAAGAAATTATCCTCGCTAATTAGAGTAAGCATGAGAAAGCCCTCAACACTTGTTGACTCCAGTTGTCGACCCAGGAGTGGGGGCGGGGAGTCGGCTTGGTTAGGAGATGCAGGTCTGGGATTTAATCACGACTCCCGGCCGAATGCTGGGAATGTGAATGAAACTTGCAGGGTTTGTGAAGGGAATGGGCCGATGTCGCCGTCAGCGTGGTTGGCTGTGGGGTGTGTCACCCGTCCGCTCGGGGTGTGAGGTTCGGCGCTGGGTCCTATGAGAGTGGGGATTGTTGCAGCTGCTGAAACTCTCGGATTCCACGCGACTCCAAGCAGAAATGCGGCGCGACCCTGATCATTCGTGGTATGCGTGGCAGCAACATTTGAGCAAGTCATCGGTCTTGATTGCACCATGTTCAGAATTTCGAGGGTCAAAGGTCTCTTTTCTAGCCAAGGCTCAAGCTAGCGGCAGCCCTCCAACCCTACAGCAACCCCAAGCGAAGACAGCTCCACCGCAGCAGCGGCAGTACAAGTAACATGTACCAAACACACCAGTAATGTTGCCGCCAATCCTAGCAACCCTCTAAGATCCAGGCCCGAAGCGCTAGGTGCACAGACCGATCGTCAGGCATGAAGCAACTGAAGAACGCCTATATGGGACCTGTAGGCAGCACCAGAGACAGAGACATACCCCGTCATCAGCCCCAACCTCACAGGGAACGCATGTTCGTCCTAAGCATCGGTTGAAAGTTGTGCGTACCTGACTTGGACCCAAGGCAGGGCCGCGTCAGTCGCTTGGATCCCGGCCTCTAGCTCCTTCTTTCGAAAGCCCCACAGCCCCA